CTCCCTGGGCACCTCTGTCAGAGCCCCGCCCAGGCCTGTGGCCCGCCCAATATAAGCAGCTCCGAGCCTGAGCCTGAGAACTCAGTGCCCGTGTCACCCACACCTGTCTCCATCATCGCCATCGCATCGCCGCCCTCCTGCAGGTAGGCACCCCACCTCCCCTCCCCCAGCCCTCTGCTCTGAGGTCAGGCCTCTGCTCTGCTCTCCCCCGACACCGCTCCACTCACATCTCTCTGTCTTCTTGCAGATCTCTCTCTCTCTCTCTCTCTCTCTCTCTCTCTCTCTCTCTCTCGACATCCCTTTCTCAATGCTGCCTGTGCCCCTCCTCAACCTGAGTACCACTGGGTTGAGTCTGGAAATCCTAAGGCCTAGCACCCCCTCTACTAACCCCCTTGGCATCGGATGTGGGACATTTCTCTTCACCGTTCTCAGCCTCAGTGTTCCACCTGTGAAAGGGGCTCGCGGAGAAGTCAGTGCTGGGCAGGCATGAGCGTGACTGGTGGCATCTCTGTGGGCACCTGGTGCTGAGCTCTCCCTCCCGTATCTCCGACTCAGCCTGTCTCTGTCTCTTGGTCTCTCTCTCCAGCTCTACCTCTGGAAGGAGGAGGGTCCTCTGGGGTCTGTCGGGCAGCTCTACAGAGATGGGCGAGTTTCTCGCCCCCACCCCACACACCCCTACCCCCAGTCTCTTCTAGCCAGCAGGCTGACGTGGCCTATTTCTCCCCAGCACCCTTCCCCTGAGAACCCAGTGCCCCCGCCCTTGCCCTCCCCTCCCTCAGCATCCAGTGTCCCTAGGACAGACTCCGCTGCTGTCACCGCTGCCACCTCCGCCGTCCCCAACGCCACCTCCTCAGGGCCAGCAAGATGCAGTTTGAGATGCACGACAACGTGAAAGGCAAAGGTGGGATCACTGGATGGATCAGCAACCCCTCCAGTCCCTGGATCCTGGCTGCTTCCCTCCCCTGGGCGCCCTGGCTTCGAAGACAGACGGCGCCTGCCTGCTTGTACCCCAAAGGCCCCTGAAATGCAGGAACCCAGCACCCCAGGCCCAGACGTGGAGAAGGCGGCAGCACGTCTCAGCCCCGCCGGCGGGTGCGGGGACCCAGGAGCCCCTGCGAGGCTGCCCGCTGACCCCCGTCCCCACCTCCACAGCCATGTCCTACCCAGTGACCAGTCAGCCCCAGTGTGCCACCAGCTGCTACCAGACCCAGATCAGCGACTGGCACACCGGTCTCACGGACTGCTGCAACGACATGCCCCTCTGTGAGTGCCCGC